CCAGGCTGGCCTCGAACTCACAGAGATCCGCCTGCCTCTGCCTCCCGAGTGCTGGGATTAAAGTCGTGCGCCACCACCGCCCGGCCTAAAATAAAATGTTTTAAGGAGCACATATTTTTATCTGCTTACTCGTTTTCTTTGTATCTCACTGAATTCTGAGATCTGATGATGCAATGATCCAATCCATGAGTCATTTATATTCAGTGGTAATGTGGCTACAGAACTACTTCTTGTACTAAAGTCATTTACAACCTGTGATTTGTGTAACTGGTGTTGGGATGAGTGTACAGAGACCCATTCCCAACTCCATTGCCATACTGGTGATGAGTTTCAAATAACCATGAAAAATCCTGTCAAACGAGACAAAGTTTTCACTCCCCTTTCTCACTTTATCATCTCATAGTAACTTCTGACTTTGGGAGCTCTTCTTCCCTTAAAGAATGCTGACTACATTTCATGTTAGAGGTTGATATCTTTATTTATAGTCAGGCTATGAAGGCTGATACCCACCTAGCAGCAAAATGATGCAAGCTAATATGGCAATTAAGGCGCCCATACTGAGTCCAATGGGAAGGACATAAGCCTCAACATTGCACGACTGGACCACACCATCATTGCTACAGCCACAGACCCGGATAGTCAAGGTGCTGGTGCTGCTCAGAGGTGGGTTCCCACTGTCACTGATCACTATAGGTAATAGGTAGAGTTCTTGCTTCTGGCGGTTGAATCCATTATGCTTTGCCAAAATGCTCAGGGAGTTATCTAGAAAAAAGGAAAAATGACAATTACTTGCATCATTTGAAAACATATGCCCAAATAGTACTGTTTTTTTCTAGGTCACAGGTCCTGTGAACCTTAAGCTACATTAAGCTACAAAGGGCTAATTACAGTTTCTACTCTTACCTTACCTCTTCCAACGTTATCAACTGACATGAACCAAAATATCCACAGCAAAACATACTGTATGAATGTATAAATGGAAGCCACTGAGGAAATATAAGAGTTTACATTTCCGTGTAAATGCAAAATAGACTATATAAAAACAATCTTCAAGGAGTTTTTCAGAAGGTACGTGCTATACCATCTTCCATAGATATGTATGCATGTTTATAATATAAACACAGAAGTGAGTTAGATAGAACGTTACCATATTGAAAAAGTCTACTTGAGAAGTTCTGTACTTAAAGACAGACTGGATGGAAATATGGACATGCAAAGCTAAGTTTATTGACTACCATGCTACCTAAACAACAGTCAGGATACGCTGAAGCACTTATCTTGAGATAATAAAATCCAAATTTCTCTCAATTGGAGGAGATAGACCATAAACATTAAATTTATATAGAGTCTTTTATGTATAGTTGTTATATAGGCAAGTAAATGGGATGTAAAAGCATGAATTCCATTTTGCATTAGGTATACAAGAATTAGCATTGGCTATAATTGTGAGCATTTAAGTAATATGTAACACTGTGATTTCAGTTTGAAGTAAAATAAGTTCATGAGAAGTGACTAGTCGCATACTGGCCCTATAGTCATTATTATTTCACCCTAGAAATAACACTTAGTCGTTCATCATCCTCAGGAGAATGATAGTTACATCTGATATACATCTAGTATATAATATATATAGTAAAATATACATCTAGTATATTTTAGTCTGTCTTTTTAATCAATAAAAGACACATCAATATTCAAAATGGGAACCCCAATAGTCTCACAACAGTATTTTGGTCAAAAAAATATTTAGTTACTGTGCTGATATTATTTGGGCAAAATCACTATTTCAATTGGGAAATTTTCCAATGTTGACAAACTCACGGACATCAGAATGCTGGGTTAGTTCATTATTGTCACTAAATGATATCATCTATGATTCCAAAGCTGTCCAATTTCTGGTCATCAGTATCCTACTGATTTCTAAAACAGTCAAATGAATGGACAACTATTCCATTCAAATGGCCTTATTATGTTGAACCTCACCATATAATAACCTCTATTAGAATTTTGTAGAAAAATGGAAATCATTCTCCAAAATAGATGCATAATTATATGTAATTTTATTTTGTTTAAGATATAAGCAGGCCTATAATGCTTTACTAGTAAGTAGTCAAACAAAAAAGGCACTCTGAGTTAATAATTTTTTTTCTAAATTTCTTTTGGTTGTGCCTCATTATATAGCAATTTGCACAGCAAAAAAGGTTTTCTAATAGAGTTAAGCAGCAATATACTAAATGATCCAGTAATCTTTTTTCCATGACCTAGAAGGAAATACCAGTCAGCTAAAAGCAGGGCAGCATTATCTCAATGCAGATGAAGGAATCCATGATTGTTTTGTATTTTCAGAAAGTGCATGACAAGTCTGAGTACCATTAATTAGCACAAGGAATATTTGTTGGATGGCTTTATGTCCTGTAGTTCAGAACATAAGATATAAATTGTTTTTCATCATACAAAATTAATAAAATTATAATGAGGCTTATTCCCTTGGTAATTGTTGTTTTGTGGCTGACATTATTTACATGAGGAAGCATTGCTACGTATTCTTTCCTTAAAGTAGTCTACAGTGATAATGGAAATTGCACAGGAATGCTACTTGTTGCAGAACAAAAGCATGACTTGTTGTTCTGTAAAGGATTGGAGAATCTAATATCTGCTCCTACTTGCATTTCTGTACTAATTCTAGAATCTGCATTTGTGTTGTCCTTTCTGAAATTATTGTATAAAGGAAGTATATGAGTCATTCTCCTTGGGTCTTACCCACCAGTCTCAGACAACATCAAATCATTCTATTTTTTTAAATTATTTTTGTTTGCGTGCACTACTGATTTACTTAAAAGGTTAATAAAATGTTTATTTTTAGTTAACTAAATTAAATCATCACTGTGGAAAATATTTAAACTATAAAAGAACAATTTCATGCACTTAGAGCTAATTTTCCTGTATATGCAGAATAAATATTTAAAAGTACACGTATCAAAATGTTCTTCTAGATTTTTTTCTTATAAACTTACATTGGGTTTTTATTTCATAAAATTTTAACTTTAATCTTATCATTCTCCTTTATGGTTAGTGTTTTAAACACATGTACACTTTTAATTAATTAAGGTTGCTTTAGGTAGTGTTCCCCTTCTGGTTTATAATGTCATATGGAATTTACTTTTTCCCACACAGAAATTGATTTCCTCGAGATTAATTATAGTGTAAATTCTTCTCTGCCCATTGATACTGAATAGTCTCTCACAAATCAAGTACACTGGATTCACAACACTTCAGGGATACCTATTTTATTTCAACCTTCTTAGCTTTTTCCAACTTGCTTTGCTGACATCCTTTCTAACCATGAACGTATCATACTCAGCCTTGAGGTGTCTCAGAACTTTCTCTTCTACCATGTGCTTCTGTCTGAAACAGTGCTATTATTGTCTATTTGCTGTTCTCTCACAAATATAGATGCAAATTGCCAGTCTCCCCGAGAATTCTTTTAATAACTTTGGTAAAAAGTGTATGAAAACTGAAATATAAGTTATATAATATAAAATAATTTGAAGAGCCTTGTTAATTTTAAGGCTATTAGTCTTTATCAAATCATGATTATTACATTATTATATAATTCCTTATTATATTATCTGTGTATAAACTGTATTAAATTTAAGTAACATCCTATCTTTTGTTTATTTTATTGTTGTTACTATATTATATATATATATATATGTGTGTGTTATTGCTGAAGTGAATGTTTATAAATTTAGTTACATTGTAAAATCATGATGTCAATAATCTATTGTTATATAAATAAAATGTAACTATTTTGATAATTGCTTTATTTTCAGCAATCTTCAATACTTTGCTTTTAGTTCTAAAAATACAACTTTTGTCAGATAATTTGATGCAATACGGAAGCAGAAGGAGCTCCAGGTAATGCTCATGAAAATTATAAAGGGATATGACATTGGAAGTCTTACAAGATGGTTTAGAAGAAAAGGAGTAAGTAAAGAAATGCATACTCAAAAGCAAATAACGAAATAAGCACATTATAGTCAAAACACTGGAAATTCTGAAAATCTTGAATCAATGAAAATCTCACATCATATGAAATGAAACTGTTGGACAATTAACAACAGAATTTTCTTACAAATAAAGAATTATTAGATCTGTCAACCAGTAATTACATCCAGTAGTCCAGTAAAGCTATATCCAAATTCTGGTTGTGTGTGTGTGTGTGTGTGTGTGTGTGTGTGTGTGTGTGTGTGTGTGTGTGTGTGTGTGTGTGTGTGTGTGTCAGAGAGAGAGAGAGAGAGAGAGAGAGAGAGAGAGAGAGACTGATAGACATAGAGAGAGATTGAGTTATTATCACATATCAAAATAACTGAATTTGTTACCAGTATTTACTAAAGGAAGTGTTCTACATCCTAAAAGCAAAAATTGCAAATGGTAATTTAAATGCATGTTAAAAATAAAGAATATCAGTGATGATTATAGTGTAATTTTAAAAGACAGTATAAGTACATAATTTATGCTTTTATATCTTAACTGTTTTGAAAGTAATTATACCAAACAATATACATTTAAGGTGTTGTTGAATATACCACATACAAAATGCAAAAATATAGCGGAATACTCCAATATCACACTTTCAATGGTATAATAAACTTGAGTGATGATAAAATGTCAAACCTTTCACACCAGTAGCCCACAGAGCATTCCACTAAACAACTGAAGAATAAATATTTTACTCAAGTGCACTGGAAACATTCAGCATTACAGATTATATAAGACACAAAGTGAATGTGAAATGCAGAAATGATACAGCAAAATTTTGTAACCCCTCCAAAGTATGGTCTCAATATATGAAATTAGCAATTATTGAAAGAAAATAATTAAGGTTTGAAAAGTTAAATACTTGGAAGTTAAGTAGTACAGAGCTCAATATCCAGTTGGTCAAGGAAAAAGTACCAGAGATTTAGAAAATATTATGATACATCAATATAAATATGTATTTATGTATGTATATATGTACATATATATGTATGTATGTATAGGTAAATATTCAACAAAAAATGCATAGGCTGCTACTGAAACATATGTGGAAGTAACATTCACACTCTATTTGACTATATTAAGAGAACATAAAATTTTCAAAGTAATAACTTATTTTTTCATATTAAGGTGTCAAGAAAAGATGAGAAAAGTAATTTTAGCATGGTATTTATTGAAAGATATGTTTACTGTTGTTGAGTTATGTATTTATTTGCATGTATTCATTTTTCTTTCTCTTTAGTTTCTCTTATAGTGTGTCTCATTTTTTTAATAATAGAGTAAGGTGATGACAAAGGAACACCCATTTGCTTTAAAGTTGGCTTTAATTTTATTACACAGTTACTAGAAATCCTTGGATTTCTTGCATTTTAACATTGTATTATCCTGTGGTTTCTTTACCTTAGTCTGCTCTGCTGCTTGGATTTCTGTTGCCACTTACTGTATTTTTGGCGTTTATCTAGTCATTTTTAACAAGATAAGTGTTAGACTATGTCCTGGCCCTGACTTATCAAGGATGTGTTATAAACTAGAAAACACACAGGACAAAAGACACAAAGACTGAACTTCATGTGTATGCACCAGATAATATCTTTCTTTTCCTTACATTTCCTGAAATTAAATATATGACAATAGCATTACTCATAAAATAGAGATATTTTGGTACTATCTATTTAGGATATGACATTTTCTATGTGAAGCTAATATATAACTGGATACACAAA